GAAGCTGAAAATGTCTATAAAAGGGTTGTGAGCTCTCAATTATTCCCGAAATATTTTTCTCTTTTTGTATTAGATCTTGCCTAAATGCTTCTATGGCTTCCTGTCTTGTGAAAAACTTTTTCGGATTAGATGTAGGCGCTTCTGATGTCGTTTCAGTGATTTCCTTCAACGTAAACTGAATATTTCTTGTTTTGTGTATCGCCAGGTTGCATTCGAGAAAATTTTAAGTAACGGTGAAATTGAAATTGTTACTGGAGATGATATCACACTACGCTCAGATGTCACATTAATTGATATTAAAAGTTATAAACATTATATGGATATGGAAATTTCTTACCTTTTAATACTATAATATGGATTTGCCGTATTCATATGACATATAAAAAGAATACAAATGTAGTATATAACAATTTTAATTTGATATTTGGTTTTCATTACTCAGCGGAGAGTGATCGATTAGTTAATAAAATTGGTGGTTCTAATACGTGCTTATGTTCACAATTATTTAAATAGGATTTGATTAGACTCTAAAAAATAATATAAACTTTTATAGAAATTCATAAGATTATTTTTTAAGCGAATTTAAAAAAAGCTCGATCTATATAATGTTAGAGGAATATACGTTGGTTATAGACGTTCAGGGGTTCTATTTTAATAGGAAATTTATTGTTAAAGAAGTCAGCATATCAACATATATATCATATATAAAAACGTTTCTTATTCAACCTCCTTTTGAAGAATCTAAGTTTATGATACGGGATAAAACAACTAATAACTGGTTATATCACAATAATCATGTATTAAAATGGGAAGATGGTGATTCGACTTTAATGGCTGTTATTGAATATTTCCATTCATTAATGAAAAGAAAAAAATATATATTCTATGCTAAAAGATTGGAGAAAATCAGATGGATTCAACGTTTATTCGGATACGATATTACTTTATATAATTTAGATCATTTAAATTGCCCAAATTTAATGAATTTATATATTAAAAATATAAAT